ATTGTTGGGTGTGCTTGCTTTTCATAAAACCCCTTCACATAAAACAAAAAGAAAGGGAGATATGTTGGGAGCAATGCTACATAATTCTAGGGAAAAATCATTTGGTTGCCTAGTTCTCTTGCCTACAGCCAAGCTACAGAATAACTCCAGTTTGGCCTCCCATCACAACTGAGATTTCAGTGATCCAGTGATGCTGTGATTCTCCAGGATAAGAAACATCCTAGGAGAACAGACATCTGCTCAGTCCCTCATTGTTCTTGGACTGTTAATATCTTGTTTGCCAGAGATGTACTGAACTCTCTGCAAGCCTTCTGTTACACCTTGTTTATCCCAATGTAAACTACTGAACTCTCTGCAAGTCATTTGTTATCATGGGAATGTGTAGGTACTGCTCTCTGTGAGGCCTGGCAAAGGGGTGATTGTCTCTCCCCTGAACACTCCCCACTTGGGCCTTAGTCCACTGAGGTCAGAGTTGCTAGCCATTATATTTGTGATTGAAAACTTCACTCCCCAACATCTTAATATTTTAAATGATTCCTCTTACACAGTTTGGTTGACTCAAAGACTAAGGAGCTATGATCTGCTCTATCTTAGAGCCTTTATGAAAATGGAACACATCAATTTAATATAATGTGATAATTGTACATTGTCAAATTGTGTAAAATTCGGGTATCAAAATGTTTTAATAATTCATAGGTGGATTTCTGTTTGTTTCTTCTTTGCGTGATATTCAGCCAGTGTGTTTGATCCATGTTCTCAACAATGACTGTTCAATTACATCATCAAAAATTGAACGCCCTTAAGTAAGAGGCTGATTAGTCAATGATGGGTTTGAGACCAGGAAAATCTCTTACCAACCTAAGGCAGGAAAGTTTCTCTTCCCTATGACGGATGGGTAAGGTGGGATTTTGTCCTGAGATCTCACCTAAGACAGGCACGGTCATCTAATAAATAAAATAGGGGGAGATGTGGGGAGCGGTGTCAGCCAAAGAAGCTCCATTTTAAATTTACCCTCCGTTGTAAATAGTTAGGAGATTATGTTATGGGGAACCGTGTCCTTGCCAACTCCGATGCTTACCTTCAGAGGTGGCCTTAAAAACAAGATGAATGTTCTGTAACCTCAAGAAACAGAGTAGCCCTTGAGGGCAGGGAAT